ACAACAAAAATTTAAAAAAAAAATGTACACTAAGCTGAAAGAGTTCACAGTGTAACAAGAACTTACACAAATAATGTCTATAACAAGAAAACGGTCATGAATTGCAGTTTGTTTTAGCATCAAACCCCTATGGCTAGAAATGAGGGTAAGTTTGGTTCAAAGACTGAGACCACATGGCGCAAGCTTTTGAAGGATGTGTAGGGGTTCTCTGACATAAATATGGGGGGAATTTCAGGCCGAGGAAACAACATAAGCAAGATGGCTGGTGATAAAACAGTAGTCCCACTCTAGAGAGGACAAAGACAAGCTCAAGGTAAATGAGCTGCCTAAAGTCACAGGAACATGACCTAACGAAGGATAGAACAGAACACAGCTTTCTGCTTTCAGTCCGCTTCGCACACCAGGAAATGTTAGTGCGTGTTGGACAAGAGCATCAGATAAGGCTTTATCTCCTGCTTCACTCCTTCCTAAGAGACGGCCCATGGCTGACCCAGCTTTTTTTTCTGGTTGTGGGTTGAGGGTATCATCATAGCAATCCCGTGAGACAGATATTTTTACTATTCACAATGTACACACGAGACTACAGAGGAACACGAAGGTGTGAGCAAAAGCTGTGGGAATTAAGTGTACACTCAACCCCAGCTGACTAATTACACCAGGCCCCTAAGCTTAAGCACTGCTGAGTGCGCTCTGCTTTGTCAAACAGCCCTAAGTCATTCCTGGTCTGAAACTACCCAAATCCTAAGTGAGTTCTTGGGTCACCATCACTGTCTCGCCGATCTCACTGTATAATACATCAAACACGTCACACAAATCTTCACAACTGGTACCTTCATGAACCAGGTATCCCAAGCGAAAAAGCCTGTGCATAAAGTAGTGTGGAGTCTTTTCAAAACTTTTACAATTGACTTCAGTAGACTCGGGCAGACTGAACAAAATGTAGTAACCAAAAAGGAGGTCAATATCAAGCTTGACGACATACAGGGGAAAGTCTAAAGCCCTTCTTTCACCTGAAAATGGGGTGTAACGGGGAGGGGCATACAAACTAGCTTTAGGTATGCCACTTACATCAAAGCAGTTCAGATCAAAACGACTTCTAACTTTGGTTACTAAAGGCTCAGATGACAATTCAAAGATACCCAACAACTTTGCCTCTTGAATACAGTTAAAGAAGCTGACCATTCAAAATGTTCAGGATTTTTAAGACACTAAAAGTACTTGAATAACTGGGCATTCGTCTCTAACCCAAAATACTGTCTCCAATAATAGACTTCCTTAAGCCAATTGTGTAAAGGCCGCTATAAAATGGCTCCTGTGTATGTGTATGTACCTGTTAGTGTGGCTATGTGCAGATGTGCAGGCAGGTGCCCATGTATGTGGGTGCCTGAGACTCTCCACCTTTATTATTTGAGACAAGGTTTCTCAATGAGCCAGAAGCTCTACTCAGTCACGCTGGCCACGTCCATGAGTTTCAGGCATCTATCTGCCTGTGGCCATACTCTCCCAGTGCTGGGGTTAAAGGAATCTTTGATATGGGCTCTGCTGACCTGAAGGCAGGTCCTCACGTCTGCACAGCAGGCACTTGACCCCACTCTATAGTTTTTTTGATCCATCAACTTGATACTATATACCTTGTGAAATCTATGGGGCACAAACAAATTAGGAATGAGACACCTGAAGAAAGGTGTGGACTATTATCTTTTTCTAGAACTTCAACAATATATCCATCAATCCATCCTCACTGTTCACTAGGATGATTCGGAGTTGAAGTGCCAGGAATATGAATATGAATGTTTCCTCTCAGGTAGATTTTTCAGCTGTCTAGATCTCTAACTCTGCAGATCAGAGGTCCCCAAAGAGTTTCGAATCTGACAGTACATCTCCAGGCCAACAGGCAACGATCAGGCCCTCCCCAAGGTTTCTTGGGGTGGTGGAAAGGAATCGTGACACAGGTACTTCGCCATCTGTAGACTGCTTAGTGTCTTCACTGCCAGACCACCATCATCCCATTTCTGCGACTTCAACACCTGCTGAAATTGCTGCCACTTTTCAGCCCTCATCTTACAAAACCCACATGTCAGTTTCAGAAACAGAGAACAGCATCTCCTTGCAAGGTTCCCAGGCTCAACCAACTCTAGATTATACCCGCTAAAAGGAGGACAGAGAAATGGGAGGGGTATTCTTTATTTAAACATACTCCTTTGTGAAACAGTCACAACATTACCTGAGCTATAAGCTGAGCAATTAAAAAATAAACTGTCAAGGATGAAAGCAAGTGTAATACTTCAGCACTAGTTAAACTAACATTTTAATGTTAATATAAAATAACATTCCCAGGAACTTAATGGTCAATTTCTGGGCAGTGGGACTGCCTAAACCACAGGAACCAAGTTGTGCTCTTAAGGTGCACCCTAATTTCTCTTCGAGTGATATTTTTGCCAAACTGTTCACAGAATTTTTGCTATGGAGCAAGTCAAAGTAGACAGTGACTAAGTCCTTCTAGAAACAGTCCAATCCAGCCCGGCGGTGGTGGCGGCCCACGCCTTTAATGCCAGCACTTGGGAGGCAGAGACAGGCGGATCTCGGTGATTTCGAGGCCAGCCTGGGCTACAGAGTGAGTTACAGGAAAGGCGCAAAGCTACACAGAGAAACCCTGTCTCGAAAAACCAAAAAAAGAAACAGTCCAATCGTATGTCATCCCACAACACAACCTGCTCTTACAGATCAGCGAGGCTTCCACAGAGAGTGTCTAGGATCCAATCACAGAAAAATATAAAGGAGAAAAAATGTGGAAAACCAGATCAATGGGGGGGATTCTAGTTCATTTGGCTGTCCCCAAGGATTACATATATGCAAATATATAAATGTAAGAAATATAAATTGTGAAAAGGTTACACCCTAAGAAAGTAACTTAAAATAATGGTTACTTAGACTCACAAAACATCCACTGCTCTGGTGTAATTTTCCAAGTTTTAACACCTAAAATGTCTTAATTAAGAGTCCCAGGAGCACATCAGGGAATAAAAAGTGGCATTTAACGTGTCTGTTCCTGGAGTTTTAATAAAATTCCAAACCCTTGAAAGGGGAGTAACCAAAAAAAAAAAAAAAAAGTGGGAGGATCCAAAATAAGTTATAGCATCAACATTTAAGAAGAAAAACTTATATTCTGCTGAAGAAAGAGCAGTATCAGCCATCCTAACACTAAGTATCTTTCACAGTCACGGATTTAGGAGAGACATCAGGGAGCGCGGTTCCAACCTGAGGCTCCTGAATAAAAAATGCTTTTCAACAAAAGTAACAGTAAGTTTCATTCTCTGTCTTTCAATGAAAAGGGGTCGTCTAAATAAGCTGGAGGGGTGGGGGCGTCAATGTAATATCAAAGGGACATTTTGCAAGGCTAGGGATCGCAATGACAATCACACCAGCCTGTCTCCGAGGAAGGAGCGCGGCGCTCACAGAAGTAGCCCATGCCCGGGAGAGCGCCAAGTGGGTTCAGTGCATGACTGTGTTTTGAGACCTGCTCACAGGAAGCCACTACATCCTGCCCCAAGTCCCTGTCAGTCACGCCGCCGCCGTCTCTCGAGTCAAGTCCCCGCCGCCGCCGCCGCCGCCGCAGCAAGGTGGGGCGGGCACAGGTGTCCGGCCCGTGCTCCTCGGG